TCCTTTTTCAAAGTCTACTTTTCCCTTACTTTATAGAATTTAAAATATTGGTGTGTTTTTAAATCGCTTTGAATTTAAATTTTACAAATTAAACGTTATGATTTTTATGTTATGAATTTGCCCAACACCTAAAGAAGCAAAATCAATCCGGACTAATTAACGTTAACTTGATAATGTTTTTCATAGCATGATTTGATTAGGACGCAGGTTATGTGGTCACAAGTTTTTTTTTGAAAAAGCTTATTGGTGTTAAGTAAATTCCTCTTAAGTGGAAATTAACTGAAGGCATAAGGGGACACAATAATTCTCCGACAGATTTTCCAGTATTTCGAATAACCACATCCAACTGGCAATCACTAACATGCCAATGTGAAGGCACATGCAACGACGCTTATTTGATTGATCATAGAGACAATATTTATTGTATGATAATGAAAATTCCGTTAACTTCGAATTCGACTATTCCTTTTTAAGCAGGTAGGCAAATTCAAGTTACTAAATATATTAGTTAGTTTCCGAATCAAAATGGTGACGTAAAAGTACAAAGTAGATTCAAACGTGTCCATTCCTCACAATTTGGATATACGGCAGATACATGCAATGACAATGCATTGCATAATATGCTTGCTACGTCTTTATAAATAAACCATAGGCATCGGTTTTAATTAAATAGGTCTGAACATGACGGTCATAAAACCCCACAAAATGTTTAAATTATTAGGGGAATCTGATTCAAATGACATAAATGCGCCAAAATTAAATGTATATTTTGGGGTCATTTCTGTATTCTGCTCGGACAGTGGTCAAAAGATGCACTTATTAATCAGAGTCACGCTTTATCTGTCCGAGGATGATTCTTTATTTGTTTGTAAAAGTATTTGGATAAACACATGACTCTACAACGGGCATTAATAATCACATCTTGGATTGCACAGGACATGTTTTGTGATTTCGCTTCGGAACTTCAACCGAGTGGTTTGGATTTAAATGAAATCATTCACTTTTACAATTTTATGAAATTAAAATCGCTACAATGTTAAGCTTCCCGAAGTATCGATATCGGAAGATACCATCAAATGCCTTTGCATAAGGAGTTAATGTTTTTGGTTCTATGAGGCAAAACTGCTTCAAGACAAAGCGAGAAAAGTCTTCTTAATTTTTTAACTCTGCATCCGTGAAACTGTTAACGTTTTTTAAATATTTGTATCGCTAAATGCGCATTGTGCTAAGTAAATCTGTAATATAATAAATCAATACAAACGGGAAATTGATCAGTTAATATAAGTCGAACATCATCTCGTTTGAAGTAAACTCTAAATTTGTGCTGTTCTAAAACAATTGGCAAAATTGTACTCTCGTTAAAAATTTGCATTAACAGTTGAATGCATGCCAAGTAAATAGGGATCTCAGAAATCTTAAGTGGAAGCAGAGCTTAGTCATTTAGTGAATGCTCGACCTCTAATTTAAGGAAGACAGATGTAACGATAGAGACTTCTGTTGACAATTGCAGTCCATCTGAGTCCACCTTTCATTACGTAACTGTGCCTCATCCATTTTTGATGCTGACATGGGATTAGATGAGGTTCTGGTGTGGCTACAATGGTCGTGGTAAACGCCGGGACTACTGTAGTGCCGGTGTGGGGCTCAGGCTTAACTGGATCGCACTGAGCTCAGCCAGTCCATTGTCTTCGTGGCCCAATCAGTATAGAGGACTCGGATGGACGGCGCCTGACGGACATTTCTGGCTCGTGGTATGTCAGTAAGGCCTGTTCCTATTAAAGGCCCCAAATTGTGGCCTTTACTAGGAGGATGGGGAAGTGTTCGAAGAATGCGACCCCTCAATTGACGGACATGACTCAACACGATTCACTACAGTCTGGTGTACCGGTCTTTTTTATACCAAGGCTCGGATGTACTTTAGACGGAGGGAAGACTGTTTGTGACCAAGTCATGACCAGGAGCTCCGCGAGCGATCACACTAACTTGCTCGTTTCTGTCACCTTGACTACGCAGTTATTTTTAATGAAGAACACTGGTGTTACAATCATGGGGACACGAAAATGTGTTAAAATGTGTCGCTAACCATCATGGTGAGGCGATTCAAAGAGCTTAAACAAAACACTGGGCCGCATTCGTTACAAAGTAAGCATATTAAACAAGTGAACTGTGTATTAAGTACTTGCCTGCAACTTTATCACGTGCGATAATTTGGCGTGCAGGTTTTAATTGAATATATGACCTTACTGTTAGGGGGGTGATTTGAATTTCAGAAAGTCGGTCCAAATACCGAAGAAATTGGCAGACATTTCACACATCAGTGCAAACCTGTGTCAAACTGCGTAAAATTTTTATGACTAAATTGTGGAATTCGAAAGATTCTTAAAGCAGTTCAAGCATTCTAATTGCCAGATGGTGTCACGACTAATGCAATAAGAGCCTACGAAAGGGAACTGCCAATGTGAAAATTAGTCAGATTTTGTGGTGTTGGAGGGAGCGAAGCTCACATTGTCAATAAGTATTCTAGTGAGTTAGTCCGTGGGAACGGTTACTTGGCAGCAAATTTGCTAAAAAAAGTCTGAATTCAAGAGTAGCCGGGATTGCAAAGGCTTTGTAAACATAATTTCAAATGACAGTATTGTAGCAGAGTGATGAAAAATGCAGAAAAGAGCACGAATTTAATGGACATGTGTTTTTGAGGGTGCGGGGAGCTACCGGCTTCAGTTCGGGATCCTAGCAACCACGCGGCAGCGCAGAGTGTTCAAGGTCAAATTGATTTTTCGCGCGAAGATTGCTTACTCGATAGGGAGGCGCCATTTTAAAAGCTCCATGCCCCTGCCCAGAGAATAGCTGTCGCTACCTGGAATTCCGTTCAGAGTTGGCACATGACTTGAATGTCAATTTACCCGCAGGGCATTCACAGACTTCGGCGTTATTTATTAGCCTGGATTGCTGGGTTAAATCTAGGTCCACCTTGAGTATTTCATCTTGTAACTCGAAAGCTACGTGCGGACTTGGCGTGAGACATACTCATGGCAAAAACTCCAGCGATTTGTACTCCTAAAGCAGATTATTCAAAATTCTCAACTGGACGACCTAGCAGTAGCGTGTGGAAATCGTTCAAATTTGAACTTCAAGCACTTGAAAGGCATTCCCCTAAAAAGTGTCAGCATGAAAAAAGGGTTTCAATGGATTTATGTTAAATTCAAATTGCCGCTTTCGCGTTTTAAATGAACCAATCAAAATGGCGCAAGTGGTACATACAAACACCAATAGAAGGCTGGTGCCTTTGATTAATTTTAACTCCAAAATCACAGTGCTCACATCGGAGAACTTTGATAATAGTTAATATATTAAAATATGATCTCTACTAATTTAAAACATTTGTCTTCAGCTTACACGGGGCCTCATTAATTAACATTCCAAACAGTGCATTCCCGCTACGGCCGTTCTTTCAGGCCGAAATAACCAGCCAAAATGGGTTTAAATGAAGCCACATGCTTGAGGCAGTAACCAGGTGTAAATCCAGCAGGAGATTTGAAGTGATTCTACTCAAGTTATTGCCTTTAAAAGTGGCGCAATAGACCACTCGGTATTTCTTTAACAATGCCTAACAAATATCCCTGGGGAATTACAAAGCCCTACATAAGGCATGCAAGCATACTCTTGTCGTTTTAACCAGTTTCAAATGAAACGAAAGTCGTTTATTAGTCAAGGAAATCAATTTATTGTGAAGTCAGGTTACGGAAGTTTTCTTAATAGAAGGGCATATCGTTGTCAGCTAACAGAAACTGCACTTTACCTTAAAGAGAATTAAATAAAAGCAGGCACCACAAGAAAGCCCTAGTGCTCTCGTAGGCGTCAACACTCGTAGGCCTGTTGGCCAACACCCAATGTAAAATCAGCAGCGTTTTCAAACTTCATGTTTCATTTCATGTACTATTTCAGTTCACAAGATTTCTATAAAATTGCATCGGTAACTTGAGCAAGCACCGTCATTACAAAACGAATTGATCACAGTTTCTCCTAAACCTGGGTTAAGAAGCTTGTTAGTTGGCATGTGAATGAAGTGGATTTTCACACAACGAGGATTTTGTAAAAAAAACGATAGATAGAGATTGTTCAGGAAAAATTTGGTAGACCTCACTCACCGAGATAAATATTACGGGTGATATTCATGACACCAGTAAGAATGTGCGTTCTGTTTAAATACTTAAAACCGTTTTTTTTGATAAACCTCGGTTACATTAAACCTCTTTCCTGCAAGAGCGTGTTCTCGTCGTCTCAGTCTTATTTCAGTGTTTACTACGTTGTTGGTGGGCGTCGTTAGCACACATTGGCGTGTTGTTTGTCGTCAAATATCAGGTACCACTCTGGTTTGAGTGTTTACGTCACGCCGATTCGCAGCATCTCACCCAGCTAACGTGGACTGTCTACAACCAAAGCTCAGTTGGAATGCGGTTCCAATTTATCACCACTCGCCTGTCGAAGCTCGCCTGCACACAGAGCAATGCTGCAAATGCTAGCCTCTCATTGTTGTCGACTGCTTGACTGGCCAACGTCTGGTGGTGTAACCGGGTTGGTGGCGACAGGCGTTAATCGCCATTCTTGCGTGAACATGCAAAGCGTTGCGTCTTGGGGTAGGAAACGATTTCAATGTGCAAATAGTGGGTGTGTAGGCGCTGTGCGATCAGCGCAATGCAGACACGACCGCGGGCCTGCGAATTACTCGCAATGATGGTTACGTGAGTCAGGCACGTTAGCCGGAGCACACAGAGGCTCAACTGACTTTCTGAGATGATTTACACCGACCAATGACTTTCCGTGCTTGGGTAAAAGAACAAACTAACGCTACTCCTCAGCACTGTGGTGCATTATCTCTACCAAAACTGCTTCATTGGACACTGGAAGAACACGGGCGGCACTTGATTGACAACAAAAAGCGGGCAGGTCATAGCATACATGCACTGAAAGTGAATTTGGGCGGTAACAAGCAATTCACTAATGCAAATGAAGCAACTACGATAAAAGTTGCATTACGTGGAAAAGTGCGTTGACCGGTTGCGAGGACTCGGGGTTGAGAGCAATCGAGATAGCCTGCAAAACAAAATTTTGTTTCGCGCCACGAACTGCTGATTAAAGCACCGTATTTTCCCCACACGCGTCATCAACGTCGGCGCACTCTTAAGAGTGGTGGTGGTGGTTGCGTCTTCAGTAAGCACTAAGACAAGAACCTGTGACGCACCTGCGCTTTGCCTGAGACTAACGTTTCAACCCTATTGAATTCGATCAAATATTTGGAGGGGGTGAGATGTGACCTGATTGGCGTGGGTGGAATAATTGATCCGCTGGAAACCAAGTAATGTGTGGCGGGGCCGAGGTGACGTTGAGTAGGCTTTCCTCGTTCCGCTCGATGTTACCGCCTATCGCGTGGTAACCGAAGACTGCACACACCACACGCGAAGTGAACACGGCCGCATATCCATCCACCATGATGAAACGTGCCAGGTTGAACCCGTAGCAGCTAACTCACATCCAGGTGACGAATATGTCCAGTCATTTTCAATTGTGTGTTCACCCACCTCCAAGATCGATTTTTTGCTATTCTTTGGCTAGTTCTCCTCGTTTATCCATCCTCATCAGGGATGTTGCCCCCTGTGTTGCCGAGGTAGGCGAAACCACCATGATCGCTGTGTCGAGGGGCTGTTGTTCTGGGAATTTACCTACCTCGCACTTGACCTGAACTGGGTGGACGTTCCGTGTTTCATGCATTCACAAAATGTGAGCATCGTCTGCTGTTTACCGTCAACCCTTTCAGTGGGTCATTAGTATGCTCAGACGATTCCTTTTCATTCCAAACACTGGTGAATTTTCCGTTGACTTCAAATGCCAAAGTGTCCAACTCCGACGCACCGTTAGTGGATCAATTTGATAGCACGTCGGAACGTGTCTACTCTGGTTCATGCCAAATCTCATTAGGCTTACCAAGAGCTGCTCGCTGAACTTCCTCTGCGGTATGTGTGTGGTGTTCATGTGACCTGCGGTGTCTCACAATGCAAACAAAGCGTCGTCGTCGTCGTCGTTCGCATCGCACTGTAGAAACAGAAGGGAGCGGCATTACAATCATGAAAGCGGACGTGAAATTGCGCGCTGCCACCATCACCACCACCACCAACGCAGCTCCTGTCACCACCCAAATTCGTCTCCACTTCCAACACGACTGCAATCGATTAAGAGATGTCTGTCAGGGCAATCGGCATCCCTCGTGACACCTAGTTGGGCAAATGCTGCGAGGTCCATGCTCAAGTCATGAGTTCCTTGATGCTAATTCAAATTCGCGTTTCGGCCTGCTCTAGGACTTCGTCGTAATGGTCACTCACCACGTTGTCACCGTGATGCTCATCTCCTTCTCCTACGTGACCAACTACTTCCGCATCGGGACGGTTGTGATGTTTCTGCACGACGCCTCCGACTTCTGGCTTGAGGTGAGCCCGTTGTTTGCTGACTGCGCGACCATCGCGTAGGAGTGTGCGTGTGTGTCAACTCCCCTGGTGAACGTAGCAGCATTTAAACCACAAAACTGCCCACTCAAACAGTGGTAATTAGATTTAAATGAAGTTGAAGAGGTAGGTGAAATATTGACGCAAAAATGGATAATTATTGTAAATACTCCAGCCTTTGATCATCGTGCACACACACGCCAATATGCTTTACTGCCTTTAAAATTATCTACCTTGAATCCAAATAATGTTAACGACAACATTATCCCACACATGAACCCACCATTAGCTAGATTACTGTGAATGTTAAAATCGGCCCTGTAAATACAGCTTTGTTTATTCATTAGTGTGATGATGTTGTAAGCATAAACGGGTCCCAGGGTAATTATAACCAGGCATAAGTACAAACAAGGATTAAAGATAATTGAGGCGGCCCAGGTGGTGTGGAGGGTGTCTTCACACTATAAATCGTGCTAATCATCAATGATAGCGCTGACTTTACTCCCGAGTCTGTTTGATTGCATCTGTTTCAGTCAAAATGGAAAATGCCGCCACTGCACCCACACACATTTGCATCCTGCTTGCTAGCACCTGTGCACTTGGTGAGCAGGGGTTAGAAGACGCCCATTTCATTAGTTTAGTCTAATGTCATAATGCCAACTCTGAACTTGTACTTGTCTAGGCCGCGAAGATGTTCAAGTATGTTGGCAGCTTTTGGCCCTGTATGGGATGCTTCTGTGTCTTCATCCTCGTCTGGATCGTCACCCGCCTTTACTGCTTTCCATTCCGGTAAGTTCTGCCACTTTGTTAACACCTCCCCCTCGCGCCGTGGTTTGGCGTCTTTGTGTGCTCCACGCTGTGATTTTCCGCACTAGGTCTGGCTATCAAAATAACCGTAATCGCGGAGGCAGTAGCCTAATCTATTTGATGCCCCTATCCATCCCACGTTGAAAATTATTTTAATGATGACGCCCACTCTCACGCCTTGTGCATCGCTCTCGCAAAAGGGGACTTTTATGTTGCTCTTGTCAATCACGTTAATGTCGCTGTGCGTGTGTTGTAAGTAGCGACGGCCTGGAAACCACACAGAGTAATAAGTGACCTTCGGCACAAAGTGGTCCCACTAAGGCCTCTTTTTCGTAAGGATTTCTTGCCTGGTTTATTATCGCTACGCCCACCAGTGTCACGTATGTATCAGGCCCTGGCGTCTACGGTGTATTAGGTATTAAACTCGTTTAAAACCCTTACCGGCTTCTCAAACGCAAATTCGCGCACTGCCGAACGTCATTGCAATGCAATTAGCTGGCACTTCAAACGTATCGTGAGTCGACATACATTTCACTTGCTGCCTGGCCTCACTAAATAAACCAGTGAGAATTGCATTCGCTTTCGTGAATTGAGACAAACCAGCCTAATCGCGTTACATGAGGCTATGAGTGTGCCTGTTCAGCTTCCAGAATGTTTGTTTCCTCACACCAAATCCTCCCATTTAATTACGTGTTGACGTGGTTTTGCGGGGTTGTTCTGCACACCATCCCAGACGCCGAGATTTCTGACAAACCAGCAAGTCAGCTTTAAAGCGGAGCACTAGTTGTGTGGTGTTTTTCATTAATTATTTGTGCTTTCGTCGTGATGCGATTGCATAAGCACACAAGACGTGGCGACACACGCATGTTCACGGAAATCAAACACTCAATTATTTGGCTGCTTTAGGTAAATTTCAGTCGTCATTGCATGTGTCCTTGACATTCCCGGTGTCTTCCTCACATGCGAGCTGATTTCACCGCATAATAACAACACCCTCGGGGTCTGGTTGGTTAGATGTCATCTCGAATCCTATTGGTCGTATGCCTGATAGGTACCAGATGTCTAAACTTTCTGATTGTTTTTGCTCGGAGGAAACTGGTAGATATGTGCATCCAAGTTGTGCTATTCTGCTACCCGCTACCCTGTTGCGAGTTGGTTAGTATCAAGCCTGAGCATTCTCGTGTAATTAGGCTTCTCGTTGGTGGCATTTAGTTACCATGGTCACCGATCAAGTTACACGTGCATGTCGTGCCTCAAGTCAGCGTAATGCTCATGGAGTCCTTTCTTGGTGTTGCCTAGGGCTGTTTTGTGTCGACGACAGTTGAAAGACACGGCAAACCATGAGTCCTGCATCTTTCGGCTGCTTACCTTGACCTCGTGTGCGCATCGATCGCGTGACCTCATGCCCGTCTGTGTGTGGTGCCTTGCTTGTGCTCAAGTCACCTTCCAGTAGGCGCACAAGACCACGTTTTGAGTATAACCTCTTCGCATCTCGCGTGGTTTTTTGCCACGAATGAATTGATCGCGTTAGCAAAACTCACTCATTTGATTCAATTATGACTTTGAAGAATATATCTAGTCAGGTTTTAAATCACTGCTAGGTACTTGCGTTAAAACTCACCCGTTACCACTTGAGTACGGTCTTGTTTAGTTTATTTGAACTCCCAGTGGAGTCTAGGGTTGCGTAGCTATTCGCTGTTTGTTGACAGTTGTTATGGTAACCCGTAAGACAATCGGCAGTTGGGCAGGCCTGACTTTGCAGTCCTGAACAAAAGGTGACTTATCCACGCGAATAACACCTTTGGCTTTTTCCGAGCTTGGTTTTCTAACGAGATATTCTCGCTTCTGGGCCCCTATCTATAATTTGCTCCAACTAACAGCATTAAGTTAGCGTGTCCGAGCCGTAATTTTAGGCCTCTATGTTCAAAAATGTTTTGACTTAACAGAACTATGTGGGGAAAGTAACTTCACCGACGTAATTGCTTGATTTTCGAAGACCAACAACTTCCGATTTCGCTTTGTCAAGATGGCAGAAATTAAGTTTAAAACTCAATTAGGAAGTCCTACCACATTCTCCAGACTTGGGTCCATCAGATTTTCATTTGTATATAGATCATTATCCACCAATTTATGTGAAGTTTCGTCCATTTGAATGCAGCACGAGTTAATAAATTGAATCATGTTACCAATTCGGATCAGTTCTTCGTCTATATTGAAAAAAAAAATTTGATAGAACGATGACGATTTATTCATCAGCCCCATGCTTCAAAACTGATTGCCCCTTGAAACCAGATAACTCGTTGTCTTAATTTGGGTTGCATGCATTGTTTAAAACCACGCCTGTTTTGTGAATGTCTAGGCCCGAAAAAATGTGGTTTAATGTGTTTTTGTGTGACTTCGACGGCCCAACATTTGGCGAGGTTTGGGATCTGGTGTCATGTGATGCGATTTGCTGTTCTGCCTATTGGGGCAATGCCTCAGTCTGCACGATTTTCTATTTGCCAGTTGACAGCTCGTTGGCGCTTTTGATGGATCCCCGTCTGGTTTCCTGCGTTCCAAGGTCATCGTCTTTGGGTGCAGCTAGAAAGCAACATTACTGAGTCACGTAGCCGTATCTGTTATCCGCACACGAGGCAGTATTCTAGGGTGGTTGTGGCACTCCACATTACGCGGCAAGTGGCCGTCTCCGCCAGGTACTCACAACTCCGACTGCATTGGTCTTGCTCTGCGTCTCGTAGGTGTTCGATGACTCATCGTGTTGACACGTTGCAGCCACGACCTTCTCGTGCGCCAATCACCGGCGTCAGTTTAGTTGATCCGACGCGAAGCCGGATGCAACGTGTCTTGGTGAAATTATTTTGCGAAGCAATGAAAATGCAATTAACAAATTGGTTACTGCAGAAAAGTAAGTCTGCGCAGTTGTCTTGTCGTCGTGTCTGCTCCGCGCGGCGTTCGTGCATTGCCTCTGCCGGTGGTTGTGGCAATTTGAACGTAAATTTCCACGGAATTGCTGCATTCGAAGACGGTTTTTCACGGAATGAGGAGATCAGAACACATGACGCGAAGTCCCTATTTCCTACAAACTGGCTAATCGCCATCGTTCGATAACCGCAGTCCCATCACGCCGTAATTCCTGATTCAAAATTCATACAGGAGCGAAAATTTTCAAGGTCAACGCGATCCCACAGGCCTATAAAAATCATCAAAGCACAGCCTAAATGTCAGATGTGGGTTTTCTTGTGCTAAGCGAAAGTCCACTTCACTGCATCCGATGGTATAAACGCGGTGAAAGGTAATTTTTTGATCGAATCTTTCTAAGTGGTCTCTTGCAAACCAGGTAAATTAGGATGCTGGTGTGTGGCGGGAATCCAGGGTTTCACAAGCTTCACCTCAGTTCACGCATGACCGCTTTCCATGTTTACCCCCTGCCGACCCACTTGGCCCCAACTCTGTGTCCACCCCAATCTAAACACTTCCAAACTCCTACATTAACACAAATATGACTCATTCGTTTCCGATTCTCAGTCACAAACACACGCACAAACGCGACTCACACGACAAATAGGCTCTTGAGTTTCTCCTGTCTTATTTCATCCTTGGGTACCTAGTGCAGTATCGTGCCAACACTGCCCTCGTGTCCAAAAATTGGTGCTGTAGAGTGTCAAAGGCTCTTCCGATCATGTCGGCGAGGTATCACTTGTGTGTGCCTCAGCCCTTTAAGGCTACTAATCAAGGAATTCGGCAGCAAGCTGAACTTTTGCACGTACATGTCGCGGTTTGTGATATCCTTGAAAGCACGGGTTATTTTACCGACTTCTTCACCGTGTTTTGTTGGGACTGTCCGTCTTGCGTGAATCCACAGAATGGTGCGGTAAGGCATTTTTTGATTTTCATGTCGTGGAATGAGTCCTAGTCGTTTGTTTTTTTTTCTTGTTCCTCCCCTTCAGAGTCATCGCGTCGGTCTTCTTCGAAGCTCCGGGTTTAATCGGTCGCTACCCGGCGCTGGATATGTTCGCGGCTTTCTTGTCCGTCCTGCAGGTGCTGCACATCTTTTGGACCATTCAGATCATCCGAACAGCTGTCAAGCCCTTCACCACCGGCCAGGTAGGCTTTCTGATTTCCGCATCCACCTGTCGATTCTCGCAAACCCGAAGACGTCATTGCACCAGCGCCGCTTTTGGACCTAAACCCCACAACCCAATCGGTGGTGTAGACGTCATGTTTTGAGTCATGTCACGGCTCCCTAATCGTGCTAGGAGGGCTTTCGAAGTCAGTCATGGTGGTGTCTTTGAAGTGGAACACAAACTTGAGCAATGGCTTATCTCTTACCGGGCCATGGATGCCCGTGAATCCAGATCCGCGGTAGATACATTCCGCTGAAGGCACCATATAGATGCTGGGTTAATCAGTTCAGCCTTCGTTGCGCCTCAAACAGCTTGAGCTAAAGCTTTGCGCGCGTTGTCCATCAACAACGAAACAGTGGGTGTTTAATTTAGGTCAGTATTCGCCTATCGCAGCGAAATCTGCAAAGAATTGAAGTGACTTGAAGTAACCCATGGTGATTTCATTACTTGTGTGCCTTCCTTGAAGCTTACTTCCGACGCCCGAAGCGACAGCGAGATGTCGGAGACGGACAACGATCACACGCACGCCAGCGACCTCTCTCTCAGGAACGACCACTGCAACGGTGGTGCTCAAAATGGAATCACCAGATCCGAATGATTTTTCACCAACTCTTCTAATTTGTGCTGTCTTGTATGCTTGAGAGCGTCCATTTTTGTGTTATTTTCCACCCCCACCACCCATCTTCCACACCCAGAGGCCTCATTCACTGACAGTGTACATTCTGGACGGAAACGAGGTGCCCTTCGCGTCTGTCATTTCGGCTTGTAAGCTTCCACAGGACGTCTTTTCCCTCGCCTCATCCCTCCATAGGTGTTTTGAATTCTAACGGACTCCATCGGGACTGCGGCACCCTCCACTTTGTTTCTTCCTCGCGTATTTTTGTACTTCTTCGACGAGCACTCCGTTCTGGAGAAATCACCTCAATAGAAACGTGTTTGCTTACCTTCCCCTAGTTAGCACCTTCCTAAGGGGAAAACAACCGTGTGATGTTGTTCAAGCTAAAGGAGATCCGAGTGAATATGCCCAACCGCCAAATTTGAATCGCCGTGGTGGTCCACTAGGTTCTTGTTGTGGTTAAGTACAAATCTTCTGTGTGGTCTGGTGGGAGAAGGAGTGATCAGATTTTCATTGGACTTGTTGAAGGCCCTGTCGTGTGGTCTTGAACCACGGCGGTGCCGATTAGACCACACTGATCGCCTGGAAGGTCAAGAAGATCAGAGATGGCTCAACCCAGTTGTTCTGCGTAAATTCAAAGTCAGAAAACAAGCTGGTAGAAGTACGATGACTGAATGGTCAGATGTGTGGAATGAGGCACGAAGGTGATACCAGCACACAGGTGTTTGAGCAGACGGTCCCGCATTGCTGACGGGCGCACTGTGATAAGGGGGCGGTGACTCAGTAGAATGGCGTGAATCAAGATGATTCACCACAAGCTCGGCATAGTCTACAGTTCCAGACTCGAAAGCTCAATGAGAAATAGAGCCCTGGGATGCAACCTAGTGATGGCTCATCGCCGATTTCTTAATTGTGCACACAATTTTCGTAACCACGCCATCAGTGGGTGTGAATCGTCCACAAAAACCTACTCACAGCCAACCTGTGTTAATCCGCCTTCATCCATCAGTTCAAGATATTAACACTCCACGCGGAGTCTTGTCTTACACCGGCGTGGGAAGGTGTGGGGAGGGTGGGGTCTAGAGTCAGACAAGGGTATCGGTTATCTGAGCGTGTGGATCTAGGTTACAGCCTAAACGCAACACCTAATTTACAATGGACTTCGTCAATAGCAGCATGTTTCTTGTGTGTAATGCATCAGGCATTACCCGACACGCCTGCATCATTTCTTGCAGACGCTGTTACTAGCAAAAAAACACATTATCCGATCGCTTTAATGTCCATTTTCTAGGGCCGTGGTTATCCACGCATTCCTGCAACAACCTCATTGCCCAATATGGAAGAATGTAGCCCAGGGAGCGTGTTGATCTTGCGTGTTGGCTATGGCGACACAGCCAAGACTTTTTTTTGGGATAGTCTGCAAGGAAATCGGTGATTATTCATTGGTTTAAAGAGGGCACGAACTTGGGATAGGCAATATCACCACAGGACATGGGTGTAACGCCAACAATGTTGTTGCTGGTTGTGGAGAGTTGTTCGATGAGTAATGCCACGCTAAAGACTAACCCAACGACTTCCTTGCCGTTGCATGCATAATGTTAATTTATGTGTCCACTTGTTAGGATAACAAAAAACAGCGCAGGGCGTGTTCCAATCTGCTCTAACAGCTTTTAACTCAAGTGGCCTTGGTTTGTTTATCTGAAAGAAGGTGTCGAAGATTAGGGAAGTGGAGTCGTTAATAATGGGTCGGTAACCGGTGTCTGTGTTGAACGGGACTGAACAGACGTTTCTGCTAGAAGTTGAGACCCTCATTTAAAGTGTCCGTGTTGAGCCAGATCGTACTCTTCCTAGGTCCACTGATGCTACAGCACCAAGACCAACTGTTAACTTAATGCAGAATTAAATATTACGTGTATGACATGAGTTATACACTTTTGTTAGCCAATTTATTTAACATCAACAAACAGAGAACAACGAGCTTAGTCTTGGAAGTACTGTCCATAGCCTTCCATGACTTCGCGCCATCCATCGCGTAACGTACTAATACAGTTTGCACAAGAAACTTGCAGACTTCGAGGCATTAAAGCCATCATCCAGCGTTTTGAAACGTCAATCCACTAAAGCGTGCTGCATTGACCAGAACAAATGGTAGTCAGATGGGACCAAGTCTGGTGAATATGCCGCATTTGGGAGAACATCCCATCCCAACTTCAAGAGGGTCTTATAAGTCGCGCGAGTAACGTGAGGTGGTTGAGCGTTGTCGTGCAGCAGCAGTATAACTTGCCTGCTTTCTTGCCAAGTAAATGGCCTTTTCTCATCAAATTCTTTGCCCACTCCGTTCAATTGTCGGCGGTAGCGTTGCGTAGTCACCGTCTGGCGCCCAGTTTCCTCGATTTCGGAATAAAGTGCACCCTTCATGTCCCCCTACCAGATACACAGGAGGATCTTCTTCAACTTAATGTCTTGTTTCGGCGTCAATGTACAGGGTTGTCACGGATCTACCCACGATCCAACATCTTTACATTTGGGATTCGCGTAAAAGTATACTTTTCATCAACCGTCACCAGAGTTCTATTCACTGCTTGTTGCCGGTGGACAATCAACGGAAGGCATGTGTTCGATCAGCACACATGTGGATCCCAAATTCCAAGTTATTGAATTTTTTCCTGTTTGGTGCAGAAGTTTGGAAATATTTGTTTGGGTGACTCCTAACTTAACTGCTGCAGGCTCTTGTTGAGCTTGCGTTGAGTCTTCAAGCAATGGAGCTTATAATTCTCCATTACCAAACTTCTGAGGCTGTCCGTGGCGCAGCTGGTCACGAAGATGCAGATCACCACTTCGAATTAAACGTTTGTGCCAATAATTTCATGTTTCATAAGACACAACGTTTTGCACTACGAATGCTACAAATTGATTGGCGTGCTTTAGAAGCATCTTTTCCGTGTTGACAACAGCACAAAAAACCCAAATATGTTGTATTTTGCCTTCAATTTTCGGTAGGTTCTGATGCTAGACCCACATTTCAGCAGCACAATTGCCCTTGGAATAGAGGACTTTTACGTGAGAAATGCAAGTCAGTCACAATTTGTGCTTCTGAGGTGATTATGAAATGACATCTCATAAGATTTAATGCAATGAGGACTAAGATGGTTGTTCTGAGACTCCTATGGCGAACGCAGTCCACTAGTCGTATCCCGACTGGCTGTAGCGATTTTTTCTTCACACATATGGCCACATCGTCGGTTTCTGAAAATGTCAGTATAATTACCTTCAGAGAAAAGAACTTTTGTAGGAAAAATTCGAGTCAATCTATCAGCCTGAAATTAATAGTTCAATGATTTTTTTGAATATTGATGGTATTGCCTTCATAAATTTGAAAAATCGCTTCTCACTTACCTGAGCCTTTGCATATCGACGGATTTCTTAGCGCTGTGTGCGGTCTGCGCGAATTAATCGATAATCAGTCAGCATCGTGGCCCCCTCCCACGTTTGTGGAATCTCGCAAAAACAGCAGCAACTGAATAGTGAGCACAACTATTTTTACAAGCAATCGTGAATGCATTGAGGTAGGCGGTAGGCATTGCTCGCGCTTACTCAGTTTAATTGGAAGAATCACATTATTCCCAATTTAGGCAGAGCGTGCACGAATGAGGTTGTTCTACCTGCGCATCGTCGATTTCGCCAATCTGAGTCCAAGTTGTTTGCCGGCATGAACACACATAAAACGGGGGTGGCGCAATTAACTCATTTGAAATTGTTTCTAGATATCCAGTGGCAATAGTCTATTGCTGCTATTGACAGAAAAAGTTAACTAAATGGCGTCGTTTGCGTAGAAGTCGCTTATTTCTGGATTCCTCGACAGTTTTTAATGACACTAGAAAATTCATCGTCTCGAACCAATGTCAAGCAATGCAACTGGATGAAAGGCTTTTGAAATGCAAATTGACGATTTGCTTTATCAGGAGGTAATTTATGACTTCTCGAGATCACGGTGGCTTAATTTGGAAACTAGTGCCTATTTTTTTGGCTTAATTGAAGTCCAGAGTTTGAAGTAATCGGTTTCAGAGTTAGACTGACACATTCAGAATAAGAGCTGCCTGGGATCGACTCACGTCTTTTCATACCTCGTCACAATTTTCCATAAGAAGTCCTCATTTGTCGCCGGTGGGCAAATGGTTAAAAACTTGTTTTTGTACCTTGACCTGGATTGTGTTCGGCCAACACATGTGGTACGCGACCTTCAAGTTCGTGGAAACGCCTGGAACTATCTGCTTGGGTGACTTTTACCTGAACTACTTCAAACTCTAGCTGCTTTTTCATTGAGTCTATACCCAGTAGGACTTGCAATTCCGCATCTTCATAACTTCGAGGCTGTCCGTGGCGCGGCCAGTCACTAAAATGGAAATTACCACCTCTAAAGCGTTTGTACTAGTAATTACATGTTATTGAGACACAACGTCGGCACCAAGAACACTTCAAATTGATTGCTCCAGTGCTTTAGAAGCCCATTTTCCTTGTTGCTGGAATTCGTGTAAAATGCAGTGCCATCAGTTGTAGTGTTTATCAGTTGCCATCGTAAACTCTGCTATTTGGAGAGACTACGTAACTCACGCGCAGACTTGTCGTTCGGTGTTCTGAAACCTTGCGTCCGATCCTTTCAAACACACAAAAGACCCCGAAAATACATATATTTTAAAGATATATTTTTAAACCCGAAGACGAAATCTGCACAAACTAACTCAAACACTTAATGCTTCAGTCAACTATGAGTCTCTACTTAAACTATGAGCAGAACTGGTTGTGTTCCTACTATGAACACAAAGGGCCAGAGAAAAGGGTTATGTGATCGGTAGTTGACTCGTTTTTCCGGACGCAGTCACTCTAGGGTGGTGTGAAATGAGTCCCCTGACTGACAACATCCAAGTCTCCACATGGATGTCCATTGCTTTCGATGGTGGTCAGTTGATAAGCTGTCCTGTTAT